TGTAAGCCCTAATATTCAGCAGCTGTGATCTATGGCTGAATTACAATTTTCAGGGTCAAGGAGGGACTTGGCTGTGGAAAAGGGGCGGATACAACTGCTGTGCTTGTGGTGTGTATGTGTGTGTGTGTGTGTGTGTGTGTGTTGGGGGGGAGGTGATGGAAAAAAGGGGAAGGATCTCACGAGTTGTCTTTAAAAATGAATGAGAAAATGGGTAATCCCAGAGTCACAGTCATGAAAAGAAGGAAAATCAATATGGCCTCTCAGTTCACTGGGGCCCTCACAAGTCCTTGAGATGAACAAAAAGTTGTGCATTTTGCTGCCACATCCATACGTCTCAATAGAGAGCTGTGTGTCTGTGTGTGGAGTAGGACTTTCTGTTTAAGGAGACGTGTGTGCAAGGGTGCATGTGCAACGAAGAACCTTATTTTCAGGGAAAGTTCGCTTCGCTATTCGGGCCTCGAGGATTCTGTGTAAATGGGACTCGTGTAAAGTTCTCAGCTGGTCAAAACAATCTAAAAAAAAACAAACACACTTTTTATTAAACCAATATGGACGAACTAGGATTCTTTCATGTTGGCGGAAGGAAATGTGAGGACATCATACTGGTTCTTTAACCTTAAGACTCCCGATTCAATTTGACCCCGTGCACCAGCCTGGAACCCCCCCCCCCCCACAAGAATCCAATTCCACTTCCTGGCCTACGTGGAGCAAACCGGCCGGCGAGCCCTGGTATTGGATGCCATCTCATGAATAATGAATTGCCACCAACCATCAGAGGCGGAGGTTTCATAGAGGGAGGGGGGGGGGGGGGTAACAAGCTGCTGGGGGTATTGGTGGGGGAGCCCCTTTTTTTCTCCAGACAATGCAAACACAAATTCCTGCCCCCCCCCACCCCCTTCGCTTCCTCTTTCTAGGAGTGAAAAAGCATGTGCACACCTTCTCCGTCCGTCCGTCCGTCCGTCCGTCCGTCCGTCCCCCACTCCACCACCTGTCTTCCCGTGGCTGTCATGCTAAGCGATGCCCCCACCTTCCTCCCCTCCCCAGTTGATTAGCGAGCTCTTCAGTAGCCTGTCATGGCGGATGTGCTCCATCAAAGCTGATCGACTCCCCGTTTTCCAGAAAGATGTCGCGGGTTATCAGCGCGCGCTCAGATCTCCGGCTACGGGAGGAGCGTGACTGGCAGGCCGTCTTTTGAAGACGGCGATTCCTCCACTGATGCCTCCCAGTTGGAAATTTAGAATCGTGTCTGCTAAGACACCATATGCAAAGTAAATTACTGTACAAGGGCGAAGCAGACTAAACCCTCCTCCCTCTTCAACGTCCAGGCCACTGAGTGCCTCCCAGGCAAACTCACCTCCTTGGCGCTCACCCCCCCCCCCCCACCTCCACCCCACCCCACCGGTTTTCTTCTCATTTGTCCCTCACCATCATTCGTCCACTTTTAAGATGGACGGCAACGCGGTAGAAACTATGCCGAGCACAACCAGGCGAATTTGCTGGCAACTTTTGCTCACGTTTTAGGGGAAATCTATTCAACCGGGAGGCGGCTTTATTTACCGTCTGTTTCGGCACATTGTCCTACATTTACATACGGTAATAATCTAATTGAAAGGGCAAATGGCAGAGAAACACTGACAAATAAATGGAAGCGAAAGCTTCTGCCATTAGAGAGCAGCTCCATTTTCTCAATCTCCCCATTTTCATGCAAATGACATTGCTGGTTACAACTGTATGTCTTTGTAGTGGTAAAGTGTTAATTTCAGTTCAAAGGCTGAGGCAGTATTCTACGGGGAGAGCTGGATGAAGATGGAGAGGAGGGGTGGGGGGGTTGGGGGGGGTGTTTAGCAGCGCTCAGCCTAGCTTTGACCTAGCTCTTTGTGTTTCCATTGTCTTCATGGCAAAACAGAATGAGAGTGCATTGTGTGCTGCTCAAATCAAAAAGAAGGCACACGGCGCTGCCGTGGGTTTGAACGTGTCGGCTCCTGGCTCTGCCTCCACCTTTTTTTTTTTTTGTCTGTTCAATGACAGCACTCAGCGGCCGGAGGAGGGAAATGCAACTCATGACACGGCTTCTCGGTTACTCAGATTCAGAACTGCTTTAAATCACAGACGTTCAACACCACAGAGACTGAAGAGACATTACGAAATCCACCTTCATGGCTTCACAGGACAGCGTCTGGAGGGAGGGAAGGCAAACTCGAGAACGAGCGTTACGGGCCTGCACACAAAACAGACGTAGCCTTTTCACCCCGAGCCCTACCAGCTCCATCTCAGCCACAGGGGGACAAATCCTGCACACATGCATGCGTGCGTGTATGGCCCGCTCCAAATAATGGGGGGGCCATGTCATTCTCTGCGAGCACAAATGCCCATTAAAATGGTCGGCGGCGCCGAAAGAAAAGATGGATAAAGGGCCCGAGGAGAGAAAGAAAGCCATTCTGCTGAAACTGGTGCCGTGTACAAACGGAGAACATGGCTCTGCTTCTAACAGCCGCACACTAGAGCGTGTGTGTGTCCTTTTATCGAATAGGGGGATGTGCGTGGCGGGGGGGGTCCACCATACGTGCAGCAGAGCATGTGTGCGTTCCTGTGTGTGCTGAATCAAACAGTGGAAGCCTCATTGTAGTTCTCAAACAGTGCCATTGTGGGCTTTTCTTGGGTGGCTGTTGTTAAAGGGCCTGCTTTAATACAGTCTGTGTGTTGTTTGGGGGGGGGTGGTGGTGGTGGTGGTGGTGGTGTTGGCGGCATCATGGGCACTCCTGGAGACGAAGCGCCCACCCTCCCGTCGGGATCCCACCGCTGGAGCCGTTCATCCCGTTTAAGGCCCGCCCTTCGCCGGGGGGGGACGGCTCAAACGAAGCTTGTCACAACCCCTTAAACGGCCGACAAACATCATTTTGTAATGGTGGTGCATGAAAAAAAAGAAAATATTGTATAATAAAAGAGAGACAACGTGAACGTGACTGCTGAGCCGGGCAGCGCGAAGGTTGAGGAGACAGACTGACGCAAGGCCGAGTGGTAAGAACATAATCATTCCCGCTGATGAAATAGAGACACAAAAAAGCATCGCTACCCCATCACTCGTGTTACCGTTACCGCACTAAGCGAGGCGCAGCGGAGCGCCGGTCTGCATGTGATTCGAGTGGTAATGTTTCAGCCCCCACAGGGCCGCCGTGCCGCAGACGTGGTCGGTGTAGGAAAATGAACAGGGGCACCCAACAAAGTCTCTCCGGCAAACGGGGGAAGCCAGGGAGAGCTTCAAAATCACTTTTCAGACATCAAATAATTAATTGCCCCCCCCCCTCACTGCCCCCGTCTCTCTCCTGGTGTCTGTATGGAAGACACCGCTCCAGTCACTTAAGGAGGGTTAACACCCGTCTAAATTAAATATTACAAGGTGTCTGTACCTGCTGCTATTGTTGCCCCTTGGAATAAGATATAACCTATTTTTGACAAGTTTTCATCGTCAGGCCTCTGCGGTGAGACGCTCGTCGAAAACCAAATCACTCAAATGGGGGGGGGTAGTGTGTGCGAGGGGAGGGAGGGGGGCATTGATGAATAATCTAGTTCATATTCCCATTTAAGGGTTGAAGAGATGGAGAGAGATGTGCAGGTGGAGAAAGAGAGAGGTGGACAGAGAGGGGGGGGGGATGAAAGCTGGGGGGGGGGGAGAAAAAGAGGAGAAAAAAGGGAGGAGTGGCAGAAGATAGCAAACGTCTGCCGAGGTATCACATGACAGTGCTCCCATTTAAGTAATAAAACAGGACGGGGGCTCCAAACAAATCGTTATCTTCCCACCTCCGTGCATACCCCCCCCCCTCCCCCCTGCATCTCCCCACTTTTAAAAACTTGTTTTAATGCCATTTCTTAATGAACATAATAGCTCGGCGCTAATAATGAAAAGAAAATAAAAACATCTAAAAACGCAGAGGGGCCCCCGAGTTGTCGCAGGCGCTCAATTATTTCCTTGTCAAGTGGGTCTGTTTTTAATGAGGCCCTGTGGGACTGACGTCTGTCAGTCAGCCCTGACTTTTTGACACCATTACAACTTCAAATAGAAGCCGCCGCCACGCTGCCTTCCACCGCTCACTCGCTAGCTACCGCTCATCTGACAGGCTGGGAGGGAGGGAGGGAGGGAGGGGAGGACACGGAGGAGGAGAAAAAGGTGGCAGGAGAGGGAGAGAAGGGAGGAGGGATGGGGAGGGAGAGAAAGGCAGAGAGAGAGAGGAGAAGAGACAGCACATCGCCTCATAGGTAAGCTGCACGTGCACACACACACACACACACACACACACACACACACAAAATCACTAAGGTCATTAACCAGATGAGGTTGCCACGGATTTCCCCCCTCCCAACACGCTTCGCCCCCTACCTGCGTGCTTCCTCGTGCACTTCCTGCTCCCCCCCCCCTCCTCTTCACTTCCTTCCTCTTTTCATTATCCCTCTGCTCTTATGAGGAGTCTTGGTGGGTCGGACCCGCACGGGACGGTCAGAGGCTCCCTACCTTGTCGTCCGTTAATCCGGCGCTTTGAAGCAGACGCCGGCGCCGCGGCTAGAGAAGGCCAGTGAAATGGTTGAGGGACTGGGGGGGGGGCTGGGGCCTCCCCGACACCCGCACATCTCTACAAAGGATCCTGAGCACGGCCACAGCAGACACGTGCACACACCAATAATCTATTTGTGTGTCTGTGTGTGGGGGGGGGGGGGATCAGCATCACCCTGCCGTACCTCAACTTTGGAATATTCTCCAAACGAGCTCTTAAAATGTAGACCGCCTGAAGAATGGCTGTCCCCTGAAGAGTTAAACAGCAGTAAACTCACGCACACGTTCATTTTTCAAACACCTGCAGACGAGTCACATCATCAGTCGGCGTGCAGGTAAACACAGACTGCTTCACAAACAAATATACCGAACAAAAAAGTGGCAGTTCTCAAAACCGGTTAGATCCATTTATAAGAACAGCGGAAGAAGAAGAAAAAAATACTAAGACAAAACATTTCAGTTGGTCCTGGTGTGCAGTTTGCATTTAATAATCTATTCACTGAACCGCCAAAAATCAAGAAAAAAAAAAAAATGGTTGATTTAAATTCTGAATAACCATTAAAAAGAAAGAAATATACAGTTCTAACACAGAAATGTTAAATGCATTTATAAATAAATAATAACAGAATCACTTGTATTGAGAGCAAAACTCCACATTCATGACGTAGATTTTAAAGTTAGTACATACAGCATGACGCCTATAATCTTCCACAACAATAAGAGAATAACATTAAAAGTCTGCAGGAATAAGATGTGAAAGTCTGTGTGTGAGTGGTGCAGGGGAAATGTACCAAATATGGGGATGAAGCTAGTTATGACGAGCGAAGGACACTTTCTATGCGTTGTATGCATGTACCACGCCCGGGGTCAGTTCCCTTTTGTATTAAGAAAACACATGAAACAGTAGATTTAGTTTCATTTTCTCAATCTTGAAATATCAGCGATTAAAAAAATAAATTAAAAAAAAGCCGGTCCCTTCGCCTTGTTCCACTGAACTGACCTCCACCTTTTCGCGTGCGTCATCTCCTTTCTCGGCTGCGCCATGGACCCATTTTGGGTTCGGCTGAGCTTTTTTTTTCGCCGGCGTGTACTGCGCATCTTATCCGAAAGGCACAGCTCTGTGCCGCGCCGGAGCGACGTGGAGAAGTAACGCGCTCACACGTACTACAGCATGTCGGTGTTAATAACAAACGCTGCGACTGTCGGGCACAAGCGGGTCCTTTGTCGCAGTCCCGTGCACGCACGCGCGCACACGTTCGGAATTAACGCTTGACCCACAAACATCTACAAATCTGAATCTGCTTTGAGTTGCAAAACTCAAAATCCCGAGGCCTCGTTCACCCGCTGAGGGCGACACCATGAAAAATATGAACTTGTCCCTAGAGATGTCTGGGAGAGCCTGACAGGGAGAGCACTAAACTTTAGAGGGAGCAAAAGAGAAAGAAGGAGAAAGAAAGAACGAGAAAGCCAAACGGAAAATTAAGGGAGAGCGAGAAAGAAACAGCAAACAGGAAAAGAGAAGGAAAAAAAAAAAAGCTCCCTGTCAGACGTTGGAAACGGTGATTCATGGGGACCATTTGTCCTGATTACTGCTGAACAACGCTTTTGTCGCTATTAATCACGCATGTGTGTGTTTGTATTTGTGTCAGGGGAGGAACGAATGTGTGTGTGTGTGTGTGTGTGTGTGTGTGTGGAGGGGAGATCAGTGGCCCCGCACATTCAAATAGATGGCCAGGATGATGGTGAGAAGGATGATGGCTCCCAGGATGAAGACCAGGACCCGATTCTGGATGATCCTGCAGAGAGAGAGAGAGAGAGAGAGAGAGAGAGAGAGAGAGACATAGAGAGAGAGAGAGAGAGAGATCAGGCAGGGTTCACAGAAGTCAGTGTGTCCACAGAGAACACGTTAAACAGTCACATGTTTATGTGCAGACTAAATGACCGGCCATCGGCTGGAGGCTTATCGTCTTTAATAGCTGCCATGAGGTCTGCAGACACGCTGCTTACTGGAACACCATCACTGGCATGGAGGCGTTAAACACACACACACACACACACACAGGCATTAAACTTTATTTGGCCAATAAAGTGGAGAAAAAGTGTCTCGGGAGTCTCCTGGAGGTAGTAAAATCACTGAATTACTGATGGAATTCACCATAAAACCACTCCCTCCTTTGCACATTTACATTTTTCCTCGGTGACCTAAGTAAACTCGACCCGACGGGGGCTTTGAACCCGAAAAACACACAAAGCTCTAGAGTTTGCCGTTGCTCCACAGAAACAATCACATACACACACACACACACACACACACACACACACACACACACACACACACACACACACACAAACAAACTCCAAACCCTCCGCTGCTCCTGACAAATGAGAGAATTATCACATTTGCTGACATGTGGAGGAGAGGCCGGGGAGGGGGGCACTGTCCACTTCTCTAAGCAGGAGATGAATAGCCCGTGCTGTGGCCATTTATCACTGGGGAGGGAGGGAAGGGGGGAGTGAGGGGGGGGCTGGTTGCTTCAGTCACCCCACTACCCTCTAAGGTAGCAGTGAGCTCACGGCCTCCCCCAGTCCAGCGGCCCTGACCTGCGCTAACCCCCCCCTCTGCTCCTCCCCCGACCCCTAAAACCAGCGGCCATGGAGGAAAGCATGAAAAAGGAGTCTCTACACACACACACACACACACACACAACCATAAGAAATACAACACTATAACAATTTTTGTTGAACCGGACGTGACGGGTGAAGCTAATTAGCACCGAACGCTCACTCAATTACTGAAAACACAATACGAAGGGTTGGACGGTTGTTCCTGGACTGTCAATCACACGGTGGCCACGCCCACAAGCACACCCTGCTTTATAGTCTATTTCACTTTAAACGGGACATTTCACTAAACGCACACCATGCAGCGTTAAGGACTAACTCACGTTTACTGAAGTTCCCCCAGAGGAGTCGCCCCCCACAGGGCATTTGATAGAATGCAACTCGGCACACCTGCACCTGCTCCCCCTTTTCAGGCGCAGAGGATGCCGACTGGACGACACCCGGCAGCTCAACTACTTGCTGCTACTGGTTTATGAGAAGCGCTGCCTTGTAAGTAGACAGTTTATCCTTTGAACAAATGCATGTTTTATCATGAAAGCGACAGGCCGTGTACAGTAAACCACGGCTGTATATTTCGTATCCTGCTACCCGTCCACGTGCCCGTGTTGTGCTTACGAGCTGAAGCCGTATTAGTGATGATAGGACGAGGCGGAGATGATTGGCTGAAGCCAGCTGGGGAGATCCCACTGAAACACTAATCAGAGCATGCTTAGCAAGGCCACGTCTCCCCCAATTAATTGACATTCATTATTTACAATGATTATTTATCCCAGCCAAATACCCAGAGGAGGTGCTGCTGTGTGTGTGTGTGTGAGTGTGTGCGTGAGTTGGGAAAATCCACATCGCTTTGTGTTGTTTGTTACTCTTTCAGCTGGGGAAAGCATGACGCGAGGCTTCAGGGAGGAAAAATGAACGGGAAGTGAGTTTTAGCCTCGTGGATGAGGAGCCCGGGTGCTTAGAGAAAGGGAGGGAGGGAGGGGAGGGGGGAGGGAGGGGGTGCAGTGTAAAAAAAAAAAATGCATTCATTAAAAGGAGCCTGATTTGGTGGCAGACAACGCTGAATAACTTCAAACACTAAAATGTTCAAAGCAGTGAGGAATATGACAGTTCCAAGAACAACTTCTCAGGGGACGTATACTCTAAAAAATAACTTACTTTGACCTAAACTGATTCTCTGTACACCAATCTAACGAAACACGTCTTGAACTGTAATGTAACTGGTCTTATTTTGCCGAAGGCTCAACCTCTTAAAAAGGAACTCGACGGGAACGCAGCAGAGCCCAATCGGAAACCTCACAGCTGAGGCCAAATTCAATCCCGCCACAACTCACAATCTAAGTTTTCCTTTTCCATCTTCCAGCTGTGTGTTTTAATCCAAAAGTGAGCAACAAAGAACATCATCGCACTTCTATAAAGCTCACAAATGAATCATGTGAAACCGCAATGAGAAAACTAGGAAATAGTGTCTGTGAGGAGCGAGGATATTGATGTCATCCCTTCCTTAATCACTCCAGAAGTGTTACATAGTTCTATTTAATTTCCTTAAGATAGAGATGTGAATCAATGCTTCAAAAGACAAATAACAGTAACGTTATAGTAAAAATAGAGACGTTTTTTAATCTCGTCTTGCCTTTAATGTATTTGCACAAATAATAAATTGTGTCTATAAAAGGAAACAAGAAAGACCCTCGGGACGTTTTCATAATCCTATCACTTAATCTACAGATTCATATTTCGTATCCAGCAAAACACTTTACAATAAACAGTGACAGCAACTGCAGCTGGCATAGAACTTACACCAACCCCCCCGGCAAAGCCCCTAAATAGGATTCATTTATTTTTTTAAATCCCCAAAATTGGGAGGTTCAGGAGAGTGGAGAACATGGTTCCCCTACCGTGTGGTTGATCCCACCCTGACAGAACAGAACTTATCAAACCGGATCCATCCTCCAGCTTTGACATTTGACATAGAATTGGGGAAGAGAGGGGGGGCGTGGGGGGTGTGTGCGGGGGAAGGTGTGTGTGTTGCACACGTACAATGGTGCAGATGTGCATGCTGACGCACTCCTGCACACCAAGTTTGAGAGGACCTGCTGCTCCTTACTGAGATCTATGATCCCAAAGTAAAACAACAAAACCGACGTTAACGGTTACCAAGACGCCAGCCAATGACGGCAAATCTTACTGGCGGATCTGTTGGCCTTCGTCGGAGGCAGCCAATCAGCCAATCAGCTGACACCTTACTAGAAAGAGAGCGCTGAGCTACACAGCGCCGATGTTAGCGGGGGGAGCGAGTCCAGATGATGAATGCAAAAGAGAGCAAAAAATAAAGCAGGCAGGAAGGAAAAGAAAGCAGCTGAGAGTGAAAAATAAGAGATAAAGGAGTGGATGGAGAGAGAGAGAGAGAGAGAGAGTCCGTTTACCCGGGGAGGCAGAGCTGGAGGAGAGGCTCCTCGGAGACAGATGAAAATAATGAGGACTTTTCTGTCAGGAAAGATTTACAAAATCGTACCAGTGTTATTAAAATTTAAAATCTACCATTTTTTTTTTCTCTTTCTCTCCCTTCCCACTCTCTTCCTCCCTCCCCTCACCCGTTTTTTCCCCCTTCTCTTCCAGCAGCACAGCCTTATTACCAGCCCTAATGAGCACCGGGATACACCTCAGCTGTGTCTGTGTGTGTGTGTGTGTGTGTGTGTCGGGTCCAGGTCCCTAGCTCCAGCTCCATCAGCGCCCCAGATCCCCCGTCCCTTCAATGACACACACACACACACACACACACACACACACACACACACACACACACACACACACACACACACACGAGAGAAACGTGAATGGGGCCGAGGAGGAGAACCATCAGATCTTCGGCTTCTTGTGGCTCCGCACAGATAACGACTTGACCCGTTTGTGGGGGGAGAACTGATCCTGACGCCTGTGTTTTGCTTATTGTTCCCGAGGGGGTGTTCAAGATAAATGATGATTTTCAAAACACACACATACACACACACAGCTGGAGTAGGTCTTCAATTAAAGCAGTTTAGTGTAATTATTTTGAGCCTGCGACATCAAGTAATTCCCTGAAGAACTCGGCCACACCTGAACACTCGAGAGCCACGGTAGTCTGTTAAATAACCACCAAGCGTGATGTAAAACAATAAAGGTAAGTGTCTACCAACAACTACAAGTGTGTGTAAATCACACAACACACGTTTCATTTCAAGGTTTCTCTTCTATATGAAGAGCTGGGCTCTAAATGCACTGTGACACAGCAGCATTTGATCGACCGACAGATAAACCCAATAATACAATAGGTGTTGACATATATTTTGCCTGTGACTGGGTTTGTTTACGGCTTAAATAGGCTTAAATGCGACTGTGGCTTTAAATCTGTCCATTTATCTCGTAAATTAACTTAGTTTCTCCATGTTTTCTATCGATTATTGATCCCTTAAGAATAAATAAAATGACTACAACCTTTTCTTGAACTGTATTGACATTTCTTCTTTTTCCCAACAAAGCAAAATGGCATAAAAGATGGACAGGTTTTTATGTCCAATACGTGGTCTGAGCAATGTATTTCATGTCAGCCCGATTCTCTCGCGCTCTTTCTCTCTCACTACTCCCTCCTCTTAGTACTCACTCGATGCAGCAGAGCAGCACCGGGCCTCTACAAGTTCATCCATTTTTCATTTGCCGGCCAACAACCCTGGCTATCAGGCAGCCGAGGCTGGGACCCGTTTCTCTCCCCCAGAAAAGTGTTGCGAGGAGGAAGCGAGTGAGGAGAGAAGACGTCTTAGAGTGAGTGAGGGATGGAGGTAAAAAAAATATATTTTTTTTTAAAAAGAGAGGGAGGGAGGATATTAAGCGTGGGAGGAGAGCTCGTGCATATGCAAGAGAATGCGAGACATGAAAACAAATTGCGAGGGGAAAAAAGGAGACGGGAGAGGCAAATGGAAAAGAGAGACGGCGCAGGTGAAGGAGGAAGAGAGAACAACCCGTGTCTGGAATGATTGAGAACTTTCTGTGCCGGCAGCAATGTTGTGCTGCTGCAGCTTCTGCTCATCCCGGTACGATGTGCGGGTGGCTTTCAGTGCCACACACACACACACACACACACACACACACACACACACACACACACACACACACAGAGATCATTTCCCTGGAAGGTTAC